AGAAACTATCTCATTAAGCCATTGTTAAATTAAATGACAGTTTAGTCCAATTAATAAAGAATGTTTGCCTTGAGCATTGTGGTCTTCTAAGGAATTATCTATGTGAGTTTCCACTGACAACAGTTAATTAATGGTGTGAAACAATATGGGTAGAGATAGTGAGAGTGATAACACAAATGTGATGTAACAAATGACAATAAACCGTTCATATAGAAATTGTGAATGGATGTGTTTGCTTGTGTGTATTACCATACCACCAAAAATAAAATATTGAAAAAAGAATTCTGGCTTTGCCTCTTGCAAATTACATCACTCAGAGCAAGTCACTTAACTTCCCTGAGCCTCTGCATCATCTGTAAAAGGGTACTTCATGGGACCCTTGGATTAAATAAGACAATATGAAGTTTTGTGAACTGAAAAGCACTATTTGTTGTTGTTGTTAGCTGTTGAGTCGGTTCCAACTCATAGCAACCCTATGCACAACAGAACAAAACACTGCCTAGTCCTGCCCCATCATCACAATTATTGCCATGCTTGAGCCCATCATTGCAGTCTCTGTGTCCATCCTTCCTGTTCAAAGTTGTCCTCTTTTACACTGACCCTCTACTTTACCAAGCATGATGTCCTTCTCCAGGGATTGCTCCCTTCTGACAACATGACCAAAGTACAAGAGACGATGTCTGGCCATTCTCACTTCTAAGGAGCATTCCAGCTGTACTTCACCCAAGACAGATTTTTCCATTCTTCTAGCAATCCATGGTACATTCAATATTCTTTGTCAACATTAATACTTATACTCCATACATTCCATATTCTGATTATTAATGGATGTTTGCAGCTGTTTCTTCTCACGTTGACTCATGCCACCTCAGCAAATGAAGGTCCCAGAAAGCTTTACTCCATCCACATCATTAAGGTCGACTCTACTTTGAGGAGGCAGCTCCTCCCCATTTGGATTTCGAGTGCCTTACAACCTGAGGGGCTCATCTTCTGGCACTATAGCTGACAATGTTTCCCTTCTATTCATAGGGTATTAAGTAGCCAATATTACAGAAGTAAACTTGGCCACATCCTTCTTCCCAGCCTGTCTTAGTCTGGACGTGCCACTGAAATCTGCCCATCATGGATGACCCTTCTTGTATTTGAAATACTGGTGGCACAGCTTCCAGCACCACAGCAAGCCACCATAGAAGGACAAACTGACAGCCAAGTGGTGCCTATATACATTAGGTAACATTATGGAGTTCTTCTGTTAAGTAAAACATGACTCAGATTCTGAGCCTGTAAATTAGGAAAACAGTCATGTTATTGACAGAAAAAAAGTGAAAGGCAGAGTTCAATCCAAATGGAAGATTAAACAGAAAGGAAGATATGGTGCTAAACTCTGTATTTTAAATAATTCGTTATGTTAATAGCAGAAGATAACTACACAATCTTCTCTTCACTAAATTAAATGGTCACTTTTCTCTTGCTTCTTCCAATCTTTATCATACCCAAAACCCACTGCCATCAAGTCGGATCCAACTCATAGCGACCCCTCCTTGGGTTTCTGAGGCAGTATCACTATGGAAGTAGATTGCCTAACTTTCCTTCCGAGGAGTGGCTGGTTAGCAGTCAAATGCCTTAGGCACTATGCCACCAGAGCTCCCAATTTTTATCATAGGTATTAAAAAAATAATTTATCAAATATGTATTGTGTGGGGCACTGTGCTAGGCACTGAGAACACAAATATATGCTACAGTCAGCCTCCAAGATGCTCATAGATTAGGAAGGGACTAATACTTACAAACATCTATGATAGAATGCAGTAAGAATTATAGTACGTTGTGATTCCAGCATTTGCATAGTAACCATAGGGTGTGACCATTTTTTGTTCTCCTTTTAGAATATGTGTTTTGGAGTTACCAACAGAGAGGTGGCCCCTAATGCCTTCATGTTGAGTAGCTTACCAAAGAAGAAGCTATAGGACAGATTCTATACTTTGGGACTGGAGACATAAGTGCTTTAAAAGAGATTGAGAGAGTGTATTGGGAGAGGTAGGACAAAAACTATGTTTTTCAAGAATGAAAACCCAAACCTGTTGCCCTCGAGTCCATTCTGACTCATAGCAACCCCTATAGGACAGGGTAGAACTACCCTATAGGGCTTTCAAGCCTGTAAATCTTTATGGAAGCAAACCACATCTTCTCCTGCAGAGTGGCTGGTGGGTTCACTCTGACCTTTTGGTTAGCAGCCAAGCACTGACCCACTGAGCCACCAGGGCTCCTTTTTGTTAGTATCCCAGAGAGCAAAAAAAAAAACCAAGTCTTTCTAGAAAGACATTTTCAGTATAAAACACATGTGGCCAGGAGATCAAGAATGATGGTTTCAATTAGTTCAAGGGACTAGTGGACCATAGGTATTCAGCCTATGTGATCCTGAGACCAGAAGAACTAGATGGTGCTGGGCTACCACTGTCAACCATTCAGAAAGAGATCAGTGTAGGAGATCCCAGATAGAGTGGGAGAACAATGTGGAACAAAACTTAAAATCATTTAAAAAATTTAAAAAGACCAGGCTTACTAATCTAATAGAGGCTGGTGAAACCCCTGAGACTCTAGCCCTTAGTTATCCTTTGGGCTGTAATTGAACTCCTGGGACTGATACAACATGCAAGCACATGTGGGGAAAATGAAAACTTATTTATGCTGAGTCACAGAAGGCACTAGACCTTGACATTCCCCTAATGCCAGGTACTGCTCATCACCCAACAATCTAGGATATGTTTAACCTGGGGGTGCAAACAGCCAAGTAAAATTCCATTGGCACTGGGATCTAGGTATGGCCTTGTGCTGCCTGCTACTCCTTTTCCTGCCTGTTCATTTCCAGGCGTGGGACTATGAATAATGGATGTTTTGGGTGGTGTAGTGGATAAGGCATTTTGACCACTAACGAAAAGGTCAGTGATTCCAACCCACCAGCGGTTCCTCGGAAGAAAGATGAGGCAGTCTGCTTCTGTAAAGATTGACAGCCTTGGAAAGCCTCTGGGGGCAGTTCCACTCTAGGGGCGCTGCGAGCCGGAGTGCACTTCACAGCAGTGGGTGTGGTTGGGGCTTTGCTTCTGTGAAGACCGACAGCCTTGGAGACCCTGTGGGGCAGTTCCACTCTGTCCTCTAGGGGCGCTGTGGGTCAGAACGGACTCCATGGCAGTGGGTGTGGTTTGGGCTTTGCTTCCGTGAAGACTGACAGCCTTGGAGACCCTGTGGGGCAGTTCCACTCTGTCCTCTAGGGGCGCTGTGGGTCAGAATGGACTCCACGGCAGTGGGTGTGGTTTGGGCTTTGCTTCC